ACTATCACCCCTCCCCTCCCCCCCCCTCTCACTTATCTTCAATGAAACTGTTATTAATTATAGGCGCACCCTAATTTGCTGGCTAGTCCGGCTATCATTTGTGGTCCCCAAAGTCGTCAGAATGTGCTGAAAGGCCTATATTAATTGCATTTTAATGAAACAACGGAGCCTAGGCCTTCGGGCGAAACCCTTTATTTTTACATTTCTACGGAATCTAGATCTATATTCAAGAGATCCTAATGCACCGATACAGGCCTAAGAGCTGTTAATGATATGGTAAATGCTAGCTATAGAAGTCCTCGGGAGGTTTTGCCACAGCGGAATAATATTGTTATTAAAAAGATTAACCAGCCTATGACACTATGTCTATGTCCCCCCCCCGTTTGGTTGGGCAACCACAAATGAAATTAAATATTCGCAAAAAAACCAAAAAAAAGATGAGAAAATGCATTAAAAAAAAATAGGAGGCTCTGCGGTTGGCGCATTTGTTGTTTTCATTGCATTATCAGGCGCCATGACAAGAAAAAACAGCAACAAATAAATAAAACATTCATGTAGAGAGGCGGCTTATATGGCACATCTGTCTCTCTCTCTGTGTGTGTGTGAGTGTGTGTTTGTGTGTGTGTAGGTGCATTGTTGCTGATAAAAAATTCATTAATTCATATACAAAATGCAATTAAGCGCAGTGGCTGCCACAATAAAAGCACGAAATCAGTGATGACCAACTAAAAAAAAATATATGAAGAGCAGAAAGTGAAGAGTTATAGGTAGCTAAGATACCCTAGTTAGGTCTAGGGTTTAATAATAGTTAGTTAAAGAATGAAAAATAAACTAAAATTCTATTAAGAAACTAGAAAAGTTAACCTTCTTAACTTTGTAGCTTAAAAATTAAAGTTTTTTAAACATTTTCCCTCACATAATCTGAAATTCCCATCACTTTCCAGGGTATCACACAGAGAAAACTGCATTGGGGTAGGGTGGGGGTTTGGAAAAACAGCAAACGCAGCAGTTAAATTAACAAATTGCATGCATATTTTAATAAAATAAATATTTTAATAAGATTAAACTATAATGCAGCCAAATGTCAAAGCCGAGCGCGCGCGTTGCAGAATTGCACATTCCCCCAGCGGATAAGAAATTTGAATAAAAAACTGATTGCTCTGCTTTTTCCTCTTTTTCCACTCATTTTTTTCCTTTTTGCATTTGTATTTGTGCTGTTGTTTAATTTATGCGGTTTTCAATTACCCTTTTGATATGAATTAATGACCGCATACAATGCATAATCCTGGGGCAGCAGCATATCGCTCTGCTCACATAATTTAATTAAACATTTTGTGGCAGGTGGGTGGGTGGGTTGGTTGGTTGCTAGGTGGGCTATCATGTTGCACTTGTCTCTATCCACAAGATATTTGCCTTTCTAGCTAGCAACTCGGCATGTTGCATGCTGTCTGCTAGCTGCTGGCTGCTAACTCTGCTAACTGCAACATTCCTGCAAGACCAACAACATTCTTTTGTTGCTCGCTGGGGCAGGAAAATTTCATGCCTGTGTAAACTATTTGTCGACAATTTTGTCTGCTACAAAAGTCCGCATGCCACAAGACCAGACCATGGACTCCTTCCTCTATAGACTATAGGCAATATGAAACGGAGAATGGATGAAGCCAAGACTAAAGTGTTGAAGCGCGCGCCGGCGGCACGAACACGCTCAGTGGCCTTTTTGGCCCTGGCCAATTGCCGCTCTAATGACTCCGCTCCTGAGTGCCACAGTCAGCCAGGCAGTCAGCCTGCCAAACTCCCTGCCAATCAAGTGCAACTTTTCCGAGGCGCATGCAAAGTACATAAACAATGATGCAAATCAATGGCTGGCACTGCGAGAAATGTGGTAATCAAAGTCAAATTACATTCCAATATAAGTTACTATATAGCAAAGCTAAATCTTAGAAGATATCTTAGAATATGAGCTATATATCACCCAATACTTACCCTCCCTTTTCGCTCACTGTAACACTATCAGTCTGAAGGCTGAAGGATTCGGCGGAGGTTACCCCTGCTTATCGGCAATGAAAAGTTTGGCGCGTTTAAAGTAAGTTTACGTGTAGCACGGCAAAGTGCATTGATAAGGAGTGCAACCCGCAGCACCCCCTTCCCCCTTTCTTGACCATTTGCTGATTAGTCGATCAATGTTCGGTCTGAACGGAATCAAGCTTTTAAATATATGCAAAAAAGGAGAGGTACAAAATATATATATATACCCATACGTTGGCATTAAGAGCTCTTAAGAGCAGCTTCGAACCAGTTTTTTTTTTTTTTATGAACCCTCTTCCTCTGGCCCAACTCCTTGCCTTGGCCAACAACGCCATTATGGCTCATTATCGCCCCAAGCAACAGCAACATCTTACATTATGCTGATGAGTTTTTTTTTGGCCATTCTAATAGGAAAAGGCCTCGGCTAATTTATAAATATATATCTGAAAGAGAGAGAGAGAGAGAGAGAGAGAGGAAGGGAAAGAAAAAAAGGGAAAATCTCGAACGCCTCTTTGGTGGCTTTGTTCATTAAACGACTGCCACGCCCACCAATGGCTGTTCATTAATTGTTGACAATGATTACCTGGACGAGCTCAGCAAGAAGTTAAAAACTAAAAAAGAAACCCGAAAGACAAAGACAAAGACGAAACGAATCGAAATGAAACTAAGGCAGCAAAAAGAGGCAACGACTCGAGGCGAATGCAATTTCAATTTTCAACGACAGGTGATAAATAAATCGAAACGCAACGAATTGAAAGCAGCAGCAGTGAGCAGCGGCAACAGCAGCAGCGGTGGCATCTCGGCAATCGATTCGTTGCGTTGCGAATGAAATTGCGCCATATTTGGGCGTTATTTGTGGCCCAACTCTCCAGCAAACCATCTCCAGGTGGACAAAAGGGTGGACTGCCTTCTGCTGCAGGACAGAACAGAGTTGGGTAGTAAACCCAAAGCAAGGGAAAAGAGGCAGAGGAAGCAGCTACTAAAGTTTCGACTTGGCAAGTCAAAGTCCAATTCGACTGACTGAGGCGTTGGCAATGAGCGTTGAAGGCATTTAATTGCCACGGCGGCATTTTGACGTAAACGCAACAGGAAAAAGGGAAACACAGAGAGAAAAGTTTGGGGAGATGTTAAAGTTAATTAATTATATTTTGAAAAGTAGGGTTTATAGAGAGAGATTGAACTTTAAGTGAAAGGAAAACCAAGGTTTATAGGAAAATGTTTGAGTTTTCCAGTGAATAGTTTTTAATCTGAAAAACCATCTCGTTTTTTTAATAAAAACTTAGTTTTTCTTATAATACAGACTACTTTTAGTCAGAGAAACTTATAAGCTTTACTATTAATATATATTTTTTAGAACATTTTTAGGGAATTTTAAGCTTTTAGAGGAAAGTTAGGAACATCCTCAGAGATATCCTCTTCTTTATTTCCCTGCCTTGAAACTCTTATAGTTTCTTTTTTCTACTCAACTTGGCCTAACAAAAGAGACAGCAACACACTAAAAGAAAGAGAAAGAAACAAAGGCAGGTTCTTCTTAAAGGTGTTTTGTCGCCAGTCCAGCCAATGCAACCTCTGAATTGAGTGCGAATTGGCATTTCATTTGGCGCATTTGGCATTTTCGGGACGCGTTGATCATTTAGCCGTGTTTAGTGTCCGTCTCTGTTGCGCTTTTTAATTTCGTTTTCTGATCAACACAAAAAAACAACAACAACAACAATAAAAACAAGATACTGAGCCACAACAACACAAATGATTTAAGATGTTCGACTGTCAGTGTTGACAACATTGACAGTAAAATTATTTCTACGCGCTGCAGAAGGTTAATTATCGTTGATTTATTTACAACAACAAAAACTCCAGCTGGGTAGTAAAAAATCAAATTAAAATAAAACTTAAACACAGAGGTCATTTAACCACAAAACGGATATGGCCAAGAAGTCGTTTCAATATCAGGATTAAATTGTTTTAACTAATAATTATACGAAAGGTCTTAAAATCTCCATAAAATGTGACACTTTGGGGGGAGAGGAAAAAAAAGGAAATTAAGCGAAAAAAATATTAATAATTTATTGAAATAAAATGCGGCAAAGAAAAAAAAAGATAAAACATGGAAAAATTAAAAGAAAAAATCGCCAATGACAGCCATAAATAATTAACAATACCAAAAAGAGATGAAGCAGCAGCAGCAGTCGAGGATTCTGCGTTAATTTGCATTTTTGTTTTATGATAACAAAAGCAAAAAAAAAAAGAAAAAAAATATATAAATAAAACCGAAAAAAATTGAACAATTTCAGCAGGAACAAACATGGCAGACCGCAGGCAAAAATTAAAACACGAGCACAATGTAAAAATATTAAATTAACATTAACAGGGAAATGAAAGCGCGGTTAGCGTGGGCGAAAGATCTCTCTCTCTCTCTGTGTGTGTTGGCTTGTCAAAGTGAATTTAAAATAATTATTGTACATTATGCGCCGCAATGCGTATTAAATTAAATGCTGCACAATAATAAAATTAATCAAGCACCAAAAAAAAAAAAGCAGAAAGAAAAAAGAGAAAAGCGTGGCAGGAAAACCAAAAATTACAGCAAAAGGTTTGCCTAACAAAAGCCAAACAAAAACCCGGACAAAAACTATAACGTTCGATATGGCATGTAATTAAGCGTTTTAATGCTTCATTTATGGGGAAAAATGGTTGGGGAAAAACATGAACATGTACAGGGAAATATCTGCATTTTTAATACCTGAAAATTAGAGTTTTATATTTGTTTTATTTTTGGATTTAGTTTACAGATTTTGGTTAGCTTTTAAAGGCAAGCAAAAGGGTTCTAAGGGGTAAAGTTTAGATTGGAAACTAATAAGAAAGTTTAACAGCTATAACTATTCTATAACAATTAGCCAGAATAACAGTTAATTAACAATTATTAACATTATTTTAATTAAAATTAATTTGATTTTTCCCAACTTTTCTTTTCTTTGCAGATGGTAAGTTCTTATCATCACTCAATCCTTCAGAACTAACATATGATGGTAAGTCGCATTCCACATTAAGTCATTTAACACATCTATATCTTAAATATCCTATAAGAATATATCAATATATATATCTAGAGTAAACTGATAAGTTTAAGACGGAAAACACGTGCCGCTTCTTAAGTTCGCACATCAATCAAAGTTTCTTTTGGGGTTTTTGGCTGGCCAAGAAGGGTATAGCAACGATATAGATCGGTTGAGTATACCCCCTGGTCTTTGATGTCTGTCTGTCTGTCTGTCTGTCACTAATCCTGTTCCCGATCACGTCCCAGCCTGGCAGTGTACACGCCCACTTTGCTCACGGCGGCGGCTTCCTGTTTCTGCTTGTACGCCCGATCTCCTACAGAAATGAGAAATTTCTTTTTAATTTAGACTTAAACAAGAGACAGCTGATAAAAAATCATTATAAAGTTAAATTTTAATTAAAAACTACAATCGATTAATGGACAGGGGCAGAGATAGGGACGAAATACTGTCTGCGGCTCATAAATTGAACTTCGCCGCGGTCTCTGGAGCTTTCAACGTGCATAAGGGCCACGCCCATATATAGTATAAAAAAAAAGCTACATCCCACAGATGACGACGACGATGATGATGATGATGAACTTGTGCCAATTTTTGCGCTCTGCGAAAATCAGTGGCAGTTTTGATGATGTCCGAGGGCCGATAGTCCCCAGCGTTATGGCATTATATAAGCGCATTTCGCTTTCATTAATGAACATGAGGCAGAAACGAACGGACGGACGGACGGATGGATGGACGGACGACCGGCACGTGAATTGAAATTTGATTTATGATCGGCAAGCGGCAAGCCAGCGGCCAGCGGCCCTCCATGTGGGGCTTTTCTTTCGCTGTGTTCTGTATTCTACAATTTTTTTTTCATTTTGCTTTCCTTGGCTAAGCAGCCTCCTCTGGGTCATAAAATCCCCAGCTCAGGATGCAGTTTTCCCCTCTTTATGATGCGTTAAATTGAGGAATGGCGTGCCAGAGCATTTAAATCGTTAAAAGGCAAGTGTAGGACAGCTTAAATGCAACTCACATTCGATTGTTTTTCCAAATGCACTGCAAAAAAAAGTTGGTATTTACTTAGTTTATATTGGAAAATTACTTCGTTAAGGTAAAATATTGGCCAAACTTAAAGAAAATTGAAGTTTAGTAATCAACTTTATAGGAGAAAGTTTTGTCTTTCCATTCTTTCTTCTTCATCATTAGCTTCTTCCCTTACTTAAACTAGCACTAAAACCTTTTCTAAACCTTCTTTTAATACCTCTAACTAACCCCCAAAGAAGGTCCCAACTTCTGCTTCAAGTTTTTCTCTACATGAAGCCAAGTTCGCGAGACCCAGTAACCTAGAAAGCCGAGTTTTTATTTTAGGCTGGCCAAAAAGGAGACCAACCGCCGAACAATATGCCAAAAGTGTAATTTGTATTATTTCCTAGGGCGGTTGAAATGGGCAAAGGGGCGTGCCGCATAGCGTTGGCGGATGGCAGACAGCCGTGGGCCATGGCCAAGAACACAAAGAGAAAGACACGGCTAGCGTTTAAGCACAACTTTAAATAATCGTCTGTCAGAACTGTCAAACAAGCCGGCAAGCGCTAGAATTAATGGGCACAGGCACAGTGCAAGAGAGAGAGAGAGAGAGAGGGCGACTTCACTTCATAGAAAGAGAGGGCGAGATGGCTGCAATTTGTTTAACCCTGCGCAGGCGCAAAGCGTCCATTGAACCTGCAATCCTGCCTTGGTATTTGTGTCTTAAATATGGAGCACAACTTGAATTATTGTTTTTGGGAGTTTCTCCTCCCCCCCCCCACCTTCTTTTTTGTTTTTGCTTTTAGCGCAGTCGCAGCGAGTTAAAAACAATGCCATTGCCATGGCGGTACTTTATCAAAATGTCCCCGTCTCTTTCGCCACCACATATAGCCCTCTCTTTCGCCATGTAATAGTGTGTGTGTGTGTGTGTGTAAAATTAATGTTGTTGCGCCGCAGCGGGCGAACTTTCAACTGTTGCTGCTGCTGCTGCTGCTGGCTCAAGATGAAAAATTATTGCTTTTAATTTATTGCATAAACAAAGGCTACGCCATTGGAATAAAAATGTGTGAGTGTGTGTGTGTGTGTGTGTGTCTGCCTGTTTGTAACGGTTCTCAAGGTCATGAACGAAAGAGACAGCAACTGAGGGCTTTCCCCGGCTTCGCTGCCAACTGTCAAAAATGATTTAGTAGTTCAAAGCCGCGTTTTGCGTCTGCTGCAAAAGTGCGAAAAATATATGTAGTATATATGTGTGAGTGTGTGTGTGTGTGTGTGTGTGTGAGGGCAGCGAACGTCCGACAGCAGCTGTCAAATGCAAATACACAGCAGCAGCAGCCCCTTCCTCCTCCCCCCAGCTCACTCACCACACATTTTGACAACAAATTTTGACAGTTTAGCAAAGGTCATACAGAAAGTAAAAGTTGACAGGCCTAGAGGTGTTTGCCAACGTTCGGCGCGGTCAGAAAAAAAACTAAAAGGGGGAGTGTATATTTGATAGATTGACATCATCATTCGGCCTTTCATTCAGTTGTCAGGAGCACAGTTAGCGAAACAAGCATTAGTTTTTCTATATAGTAGTAGTAAAAGTTAGTTCATTGAGCGAGAAGAGCAGGCGAGAATCATTGCCAATAAACTGACAAATCAAAATCAAAAACAAACCAAATTAGCCAGTCATAAAAGCGTCCAAAAGTGAGGGAATTTGCCAGCGGAATGGCAACTGTTGATAGATCATTTGAAATAAAATACAAAGCAGACGCGTCGTCGTCGTTCGTGATTTATGGCATTTGATAAATGAGAATTTAATAAATTTTTAGCTTATTTGGTTTTTATTTTTTTCTTCTATCATTTCTCCTCCCCCCCGCCTTTTCAGTTTTCAGTTTTTAGTGCGGCAATTAAAAGTTTGTGTGTGTAGTATAGTGTTCGTTGAACGGCATTAGACAAATGGTATATGGATTGGCGCTCGTTTCGATGGATTAACGGCGGGTCTTAATGTTGTTTGATGGTCGCTCGGCTTTTGTTTTTCTTTATTTTCGATTTTATTTGCTTTACCCATCAATTAGCCATAATTTGCTTTGCTTTAAAACGCTGAAACTTAAAACTCAAGTTTAATGGTAAATATTAACTAAATAGGTAATAATATCGTTAGTTTTTTTCTCTCTGTAAATACAAATTGCTGAGACCATTACTTTCCCTTGTAAATTGAATACCAAGCCAATCGTTTAAGTCACTTTCTTTGATGCTCTGGGCTCTGGGCCTTGGCTCTCATCATAATTCCTCGACAGTCACCGAAAGTTCTTTAGCCAGACACAACCCACATAAATCCACAAAAGGTCCACTGCCCTCCTCCTCCTCCTTAACCTCCCTCTTATCCTCGTGAATTATGCATGCAACAAATTGTATAAAAATTTCTGCAACTTTACGTTGTTACGTGCAGAAATTTGGAAATCAAGCGAAACCCTCAGAACATTTTTGAGGAGCACTTGTCGAGGGTAAATACGAGGAAAAGGCAAACAAGGCAAGCCAGCCAGCCAGCCAAGGACCAGCAGGACTTCACTTTACTCCCTGGTTGCTGGCTTAGCCTGAAGTCAACCCCCCAAAGGATATCCTCGAATATTTATTTTTCTTTTTTCTGCCTTAACCTCTCCGCTCAGCGTTTACAAAGTGATTACTTCTGTTTAAAAATTGATGTCTCGATGTTGGACACGTTTTCAATTTCCAACGAAATGGCGCGTGCTGCCAGGCCCCTCTCTCTCTCTCGCTTACAGGTGGCCATCTGAAGAGGAAACTTTGATCAAAATTGTCAAAAAAAAACAAAAAAGAAATTCCTTAAATGACTTTGTCAAGTCGTTAAAAGCGAACACAATTTGGTGTCTCTCGTTTGGCTTTAATCACCGATTGCTGTCATGTCCGAGTTGAATGGCAATTAAATGGTCTACGACTCGTTAAATCATTCATGATTAACTCACTTCAGCTCCCTGTCCTTGAAGATTTAGTGCCGTTGAGAATCGTTAAAGATATGCCATATATACACATATCAGAACTGAATCCGAAACGAAAACTGAAACAAAAGACGAAATGCTGTCGCATAATCGATGAACTTTGATTGGCACTCATAAAACCCATCAACTCCATCAACCGGTTGTATCTTTTAACTCAAATATTATAGTAGAGTATAGCATAGGTAGGTAGGCATCTTATATATTATAAAAAAGCCGCTGGCCAAAAAGGTAACTTGGCACAAAAGTCGGTTGTTGGCTTTGGTAGGCCCAAATGGCTTTTTAATTTGGTCAACGAAAACGGGTTGGGAAAATGTTCGTTGTGTTTGTTTGTTTGTTTGTTTTTTTGTGTCTGCGGGTTTGACATTTAATGGCCTTTTGCCTTTAGGGGGGGAGAATGTGTGGAATGTTTTTCATTTGCATATGCAGCCTGCGCCCTGAAATATGCAGCGGTTTTTGTTGCCTTTCCACAAGCAAATACCTTGAAGGTGTGTTCAGTGGGGAATTTCATGCTGAAACATACAAAAACTTAAAGAATTTCCAACCTATGAAAGGTTACTAAACAATTTTTATGTTTTTTATAGTTTTTTGATCTATCTTGGAAGTAAAAAATCCATCACTTAAAGGCTCTTTCTCTCTCTGCATTAATTTCTTATTCAATTTAGTTTTGCCTCCCCCAAATTCAAGGAGAAAACTTTGATTAAACTTCTTGCCAATAGCAAGCTGTACTCGTAAGTACATATAGATATAGATATATATAGTGGCAGGAGTATATATGTCTGACCAACTTTCATATAAGTAACATAGATAGCTCGCCCACACAGCATAATCGAAGGGAGAAGAAGCCAAGTTGGAGTAGCAGAAGGATATCCATTTGCCAAAATAGCAAAACTTGCATAAAAACTTTTGCGCAACAACTTGGACTTTTTCATCAAACAAAAGCAAAAGCAAAAACGAAAAATACGAGGAAAATGA